AATCCCAGCACTCTTAATGAAGAGACTGGCTGATCTCTGGAACTTCAAGGCCAGCCTAGTTTACTCTAAAAAACAAGCTAGTTTTACTTTCAGTTTATTTGCATGATGGATTACATTCATAGATTTTCATATGTTGAACCAGCCCTGCATCACTGGGATGAAGCCTACTTAATCATAATGGATAATTTTTTTGTTGTGTTCTTGGATTCGGTTTGCCAGTATTTTATTGAGAATTTTTGCATCAATGTTCATGAGTGAGATTGGTCTATAATTCTCTTTCTTGGTTGAGTCTTTGTGTGGTTTTGGTATCAGGGTAACTGTAGCTTCATAAAAGGAGTTTGGCGATGACTCTTCCGCTTCCATTTTGTGAAACATATTAAGGAGTATAGGTACTAGCTTTTCTTGAAGGGTTGGCAAGAGACTTGACTCTAGAGGGGTTCCCAGGTGTCCAAGGAGATGTCCCCAGCTAGGTCCTTGGGCAGCAGAGGAGAGGGTGCCTGAACTGGCCTTGTCCCATAGCCACACTGATGAATATCTTGCATATCACCATAGAACCTTCATCTGGCGATAGATGGAGCTAGAGACAGAGACCCACATTGGAGCACTGGACTGAGCTCCCAAGGTCCAGATGAAGAACAGATGGAGGGAGAACATGAGCAAGGAAGTCAGAACTGCAAGGGGTGTGTCCACCCACTGAGACGGTGGGACTGATCTAATGGGAGCTCACCAAGGCCAGCTGGACTAGGACTGAACGAGTATATGATCAGACCAGACTCTCTTAATGTGGCTGACAATGAGGGTTGACTGAGAAGCTAATGATAATAGCACTGGGTTTTGATTCTACTGCATGTACTGGCTTTTTTGGGAGCCTAGTCTCTTTGGATGCACACCTTCCTAGACGTGGATGGAGTGGGGAGGGCCTTGGACTTCCCACAGGGCAGGGCACCCCTGACTTCTCTTAGGACTGAAGAGGGAGGGGGAAGTGGGGAGTAGGAGGGAAATGGGAGGAGAGGAGGAGGTGGAAAATTTTAATAAATAAATAAATAAATAAAATTTTTTAAAAAGCTAGTTTTAGGAATGCCAGGGTTACACAGAGAAACCCTGTTGCAAAAAACAAAACAGAAATCTATTATTAGCTATTTCACACTCACACACCTATGTATGTATATACACACATTTTGTGTGTGTTTGTGCATGTACACTTCAAATAGTGCCCACTCTCGCTCATACTCTCCATTATCCTGGTCTACAATTCTAACAAATTTCTCTGTTATGTTCCTCTCTATTCATTTTCCTTTGGGATCTTCGGAGATTAACCAGGCTTATGTGTGAGACTGTGTGTTTGAAGCTATGTGTTGGAGTCTGCCATGTTCAGCAGAGTACTACAGCTAACAGCAGTGAATCTTTTCCTACAATCCACCCAGAGCCAACATTTGAGACTTAGAGAATGGGACCCTGTAAGACTTTCCCTTTCCTAGACTGATGGTGGTCTAGTGTGAGGTCAAAGCATGTAAGTACAGTTGCTGTTGGTTACTGATTACAACAGCTGTATGGAGTCTAAAGAACGGCATGTCTTAGCCCTTCCTCCTCTTTCCCTTATTTCCTGTCCTCCTCCTTTTCTTCAGTATTCCCAAAGCCATAGGTGGATGGTGTAACTGATGTTTTCAGGGCTGGTACCACATACCATATTTATTTTCTGAATCTAGGACAGCCAATAGTCTCTGCATTCAACATTGCATAAAAATTCTATATTTTATCTAAAAAGCACCTTTAACATGAGTCACAAAAGAACTTGTTTCTGAGTTAGAAAAAAATGGTAAGACCACCATCTAGTGGTGAGAGCAGTACATCACAAGATGAATCCAGTGTTGGATTGTTAGCAATGGACAGTGATTTCTTTTCAAAATCTAAGTTCCTGTAATGTCTCTCCCCAAGGACCAGTTGCAGTATTTGGTTTTGGCTTGTCACATTTCTGTAGGAGATGGAAAGCTGGCATCTAAATTTAGCCTGTTATCATTTGGTGTCCATATTGGGTTTCACGGTTTGAGTTGATGTGGATGACTGACCAGGTCTCTTCCTCTTCATGTGGTAGCCTTTATCCGACCAGCTAGACAGCTTTACACTTAACTATAAATTCTCCAGGTTTCCAGAGGACCTAGCTGGTCATTTCCAGTCTTTCCATGGAGGATAACTTCCTAGTGCTGACTTAAGGTCAGATCACCAACTTGTTATGGCCAACATTCAACTGAAACTTAGGAGAGGCACACCAAGCAAGATAAACCAGAATATCAATCATAACCAACTGATGAACCCAGCTATATGGAGAGAGTACAAGAGAATCACTGAAAAAAAGGATGAGGGAAACTATTAAACCACCCTCTACAAATATAGAAAGCAAATGGGAGGAAATCAAGGAGTTATACAGGAGACTTCAAAAGAGATAATGCTTGGTTATGAAAAAAGGGCAACACCAGTAGAATGGCTTACTGCAGAGATGACCAACCTGGCAGAAGAAAGAAGGACCCTAAAGAGCAAACAAAAAGGAAATCTGCAGGTAGCAAAACACCACAACTATCTGTTCAGGAAGATCAAAAGAAGATCAAAGAAGGATAAAACTGGACTCCATATTATAACACATCTTCTCTATGAAACTATCAGACTGATAACTGCCAGATATGCTCCTAAGATTCGGGTGATTAAAGATGGGCAAGATCATTTGTTAACAGAACCAGGGGAAGTAAAGCAAAGATGGAGACAATACCTCAACACCCTGTACAATGACCCTAATGCTGTCAATGAAAAACGCTTCGGAAGCAACTTGAACCACCAGAGATGATGAGGAAATATTAAATATTGACAGGAGAGAGATAGAGGAAGCTATCAAGGGAGCAAAATGCAAGAAGGCACCAGGAGTGGGTGGCACTGAGGAGGAGCTGGCAGCCACTACAATAGACTCAGGGGCCGAGGCGCTTCTCAGACTCTTCAGGGAGATATGGGAACACAAAGTGATTCCCACAGAATGGAAACACTAGGTCATAATTCCCATATACAAGAAGAAGGACAAGCTGGACTGTTCCAATTACAGGGGCATTGGTTTGTTGTGCCATAGCAGCAAGACCTTCTCCTCCATTATCATACAAAGGATCAAGGGCAGAACAGAGGAAATCTCAGCAAGAGGCCCAGTGCGGATTCAGATCTAACAGGAAGGAGCAAATTGATCAGATTTTCACTTTGAGACAACTGGCAGAAAAATAAGAGTAACTTAGAAAAGACTTATATGTGTGTTACATCGACTTCAGGAAGGCATTTGATATCATTTGGAGGAATGGACTTTGGGAAATAATGAGGTTCTACAGGTACCCAGAGAAAATCATAATACTAGAAAATGCCTACAACAATACCTTTGCAACAGTCAAAGCCTGTGAAGAACTAAATGATTAGTTTAAGAAAATCATAGTAAAGTTGCAGGGATGTGTCCTCTCACCGCTATTCTTTAATATATTCCTGGAGTTAATAATAGCAAGAGCCCTGGAGGATGAAGACATAGGCATGCAGATAGGTGGTGTGCAAATCAATAAATTGCATTTCACTGACGATACCACACTACTTGCTGAAAGTCCAAATGAGCTGCAGGCCACGGTAAATAGAGTGGTGGAATTCAGTGAAAACTTGGTATGAATGCAAACACAGAGAAGACTGGGATACAGCACATGGGAAGGGATTTTAACATTTTAATCAAGAATCAGAACCGCAAGCTAACAGTCAACTTTGTCTGTCTGGAAGGAAATCTTAGTTCAAAGGAGGAAGGAACTATTTTAGATGTCAGGAGGCAGATGGGGATAGTGAGGGCTGCATTCCAGGCACTAGTAAAAGTTTGATCTGCAAGAGACATTACAACAACAACAAAATTACAAGTATATGAGACACTTGTCTTAAGCTGCCTTCTTTACAACTGCAAAACCTGGACAATGAAACACTCTACTCAGAGCAGTGGCTAAATGTATTTGGGAAGGCATGTCTCCGGAGGATTCTAGGCATCATATGAAGAGACAGGATGCACAAGGATGACATTAAGAAACATCTCCCATCTACAGAAGAAAGTAAACTACAGGGTACAGCAACGGCTTGAGATACTTCAGCCATGTTATGGGAATGATCGATGGCAGATACCCGAAGATGGTACTGCTTGGAGGAGTGCTCGGGATAAGAAGAAGAGGAAGGCCCTTAAAAAACGCTGAATAGACATAGTAAAGGAAGAGTGTGGAACCTTGGGTGTGAATCTAGGATTGTGCAGGATAGGAAGAACTGGAGAACGGTCATAAACGGAACGGGCATTGCCGGGTCATGAATGATGAATGACGATGATGATGATGATTTGGTGTAAGTATGTAGCCTGAGAGGCTGGTAATCAAGTGCAGGTTAGACTTACTGTCTTTTAACAGAAGGATTCTGATCTCACTGTGGGAGTCAGATAGCTGGGTGCAGCGTCCTCCTAGATCCAGGTCTGGTCTAGGCTGGCAGCAAACATGAGGGGAGGCTGTGCAGAGCGGGTCCTGGGCTGCCTGACAGCTGGAGCTGTGTGGAAGGCAGCCTGAGACTCAGGGAAGAGACGATTCAGTGGGGCGGGGAACACTCAACCAGAAACAGCAGTTGGGAGGGTGTAGGAGTTCCTGTGCCTGTAGTAGTGCGGGTAGGAGGAGACGGAGGGGATGGAGAAGTGGGAGGAGTTTAGAGGAGTGACGTACAAAAAATCGGAAGTAGACTGAAGCGGAAAAGCTGGAAGTGATTTGTGCCAATACCTTTGGTTGCTCGGGAACCAGCGCGTTGGCAATCCCGTTGTGCAGACCTGGGTGCGGAGGAGTCGGCGGGAGTCGCGGGGACGCGAAAACTCCCCAGAGCCGCAGTCGCCGCGAGGCGGCCTGGGGCAGTCAGCAGTCAGCAGCGCAGTGGCGGGAACCGCAGCCCGGCGGCCCTGGAACCTTCCAGGTCAGAGGAGCTGCGGGGCTGGGACGCGGGAGGGAAGGGACCAGGGGTGCGAGTAGTTTCCCTGCTGTTCATAAGGCTCTGAAGTTCTGCTGTGAATATCTTACCCTCCTCTGTAAACTTTAGATCACATGAACTCTAACAGTCCCGCTTTTTTTCATTTATCTTCTAATTGTCAAAATAGTCTCATAAAAAACTACTACAGTATTTGAATTTATGTATTGAGCTTTTCAAATTTACATTCATCTACGCCAAATTTCTTGTTAAACCTCTTCGCTATTCAAGAGAATGGCACACAGAACTAGGGATCGAACTCCCAGAAAAATCTTATGTATTAGTCATGAAATGAACGCTTGCAAATGTAATTAAATCAGAAATTGTAATTTTTACGAGTTCCATGGGTATGGTTGTAAACATTAGCATTTAAAAGCAAACCTTTTATCTGCCACTAAATTTTCATCTGACACTTTGTGATGTAAATAGATTATTTTAAAAAGTGACTGTGACAGACTGGGTGACACACACATTTAATCCCACCACTGGGGAGGCAGAGGCAAGTGGATCACATTGAGTTTGAGGCCAGCCTGGTTTATCTAATGAGTTAGGTGTCAGCCAGAGCTTAATGCTGATACACAGCCTTTAAAAATATAGAAAAAAAATGTGGCCAGGCAGTGATGGCTCATACCTTTAATTCCAGCACTCAGGAGGCAGAGGCTGGTGGATCTTTGTAGGCCAGCCCGGTCTACAAAAAAGAAAGGAAGGAAGGAAGGAAAGAAAGAAAGAAAATAAATGTGTATTTTTGTGCTGAGTTCTTAATGTACAACTTAGAGCCTAAAAAAACACAATATACTTTTTTATTATATTAAATCACAGTATTTTCACAGTAAGAAAAGGTGTTATAAGCCACATGGTAGTGGTGGCACCCTCTTTCAATCCCAGCACTTGGGAGTCAGAGGTAGATGGAGCTGGGAGTTTCTTCCCACCCTAGTCTACTGAGCAAGTTAAAGGGTAGCTGGATCTACACAGAGAAGCCCTGTCTTAGGGGGGAAGAAAAGGAAAAAGCAATGAAAATGTATTATAGTATAGAATAATAAAGAAAGCATCTTTTGAATAATTACAATAACTCATCTACATCAGAAAAAAATGTCTAGAGGAATCTTTTGTCTTAGTCAAAGGGAAGCACTCTGTCCATGAACACATGATGAAGCTGTTATTTTTTGATTCCTGTGTTTACTGTGTTTGAGTCCAGAATTCATTGTGTTGCTCTGTCTGGCCCAAACTCACCAAGTAGACCAAGCTGGCCTGGAAAACACAGAGTTCCATCCTCCTCCATTTCCCTAGTGCTAAGATTAAAGGTGTTCACTGAAACAACTGTTCAAACTGTTGTTTTTTTATTTTGTGGTCTGTTGACAGCCAGTGGTGTGACTGTGAACTTCTCCCTGGAGGAGAGGCAGTGCCTGGACCCTGCTCTGGGGGCTTTGTGCAGAGACTGGATGTTGCAGAATTGTAGCAGTCTGATTTCTGTGGGCGAGAATTGTTTGCATGCTGTCTCCCTTGCTCCTCCTCAGAGTGTCTTTCTCTTGCTCGGAAAGCGGGTGTGCCTTTGAGAGGTGTGAGACTTTCATCGTCTTGGGTTGAAAGACCCTCAGGACCCCCCTCAGAACCCGCAGCTGGCCTGCTCCCGTGAGAACATCCTCTTTGCTTGAAAGACCTTCAGGACCTCCAGCCGGCAGTTCCCATGAGAACATCCTGTTTGCTTGAAAGACTCTCAGGAACCCCTCAGGACCTGCAGCTGACCTGCTCTCATGAGAACATCCCGTTTGCTTAGGAGAACAGGATATCTGTGGTCGGCACATGTGCCAAACTTAGAATGTCAGCAGTTCACAAAAGGAATAGTCTGTCCCCTTGAGTAATCTAACGAAAACCAGGTGGGGACGGTCAGAGACAGAATGGAACATCTGGGAAATGGAATGAACAAACAACTTTGTCCATTGTCACTGCCTGTTTAAAATAACCAATGATCTTTATGCTCTGAAAACTGTCATTACGTAATCAATTTTGCCTATAACAGCTTGCTGGAATTTTGACCCTGCCTGACAGTTGGGAAAACACTTCTAGATTCCTCTCTTCATCTACTGAGCACAGTAGATGTGTTAGAAATTCAGGTACTTCCTGAAGAATCTCTTTCTCATGTGCAGGGTTAACTGATCACCCAGACCTGCTCACCTGTTAAGAACAAAGAGGCCAGTAAGGTGAAGAGGGATGAGACAGTAGCTAAGAATCGAGGTATTTGGAAGAACTGGTAAATGGGTGCCTGTTAGTATTCAGATGTACTGGCCTGCACTTGGTGTCCTGACAAGATAGGTCTGCAGCTGCAGCCGCTAAGAGCACCTCCTATGCACGTGCACTATGTTCCCTTTAAAAAGGTGGGCCTTGCCCACCTCCTATCACTTTCTCTTTCTCACTCTCTTTCACTCTCTCTTTCTTTCTCTCTGCCCCTTTATTTTTTTCTCTCTCTCTTTCTCTCTGTCTCTCTCCCTCTCTCATTCTTTCTCTTCCTCCACTCTAATCCCCAGGGACCAGTCTCTGCCCCTTTCTCTTTCCCCCTCTCTGCCCCTTGTCTCACTTCTTCCAGTAAACCTCCTATGTGAGCACCATTGTATGGTGTTCCTCCTTCCCACTGATTTTTAAATCTATTGTAATTACTGCAAGGGACTCAAGTGAATGTGTGAGTGGGACATGAGATCAGTGTGCCACATTCTGTGTCACTAGAAATGATTCTGGAGACGTCCACTGAGAAGGATCTCAGGATCGTCCTATTATAGGTACAGGAACTGGTTCTACAGAAGAATTGAAAATGGAGCCAGGTAAAATTTTATTTGAGTGTGCATGTGAGTGATGCTGTCCTTTTCATTGATGTCACTAGTCATGTCTTCATAACAATATTAATTGGTTTTCATTTCTGACTTTCATGTTTTACAAAATAATCAAAATTAGTACCTGTAGGTTTACTTATTATTTTCAGAATCTTTTGGTATTCTATTACATTCTCTACATTTAGTGTTAATGCCTCTGCCTGCTGAGTGCTGGGATTCAAGGTGTACACCACCACTGCCCACCTCATTTCCATCAATTTTAAGGTAGAGTTTTTCTAGATGAAACAATATGATTGACAGTGATTTTCTCCCCAAGCTTCAAATGTTGTTCCCTGCTCTCCTGAATTTGGGATTATTGACTAGACACCTGGTCATATTTTGTTTCTTGGGTCTTTCCAAGTGATTTGACATTTTCTTTAACCACTCTCAGTGTTAATTTTTACTTTTTCTTTTTTCCTCCTTATATGAAAGGCCAACAAGCCATGTATATTCATTGTTCCTAAAAGAGAAACTCAAAGAAGAGAAGCAAAAAGAAATGGTTGATTCTCCAGTAAGCAGGCCCCAGGTCAGTGGTCATGTTCCCCTTTCTTTTGTAGAAACGTTATAGTTTGAGACATTGGAAGCCTTTAAATTCTACTTCTAATTATTTCTTTTAGCTTTATTATGAAAAATGTTACAAACAAACAAGCAGACAAAAAAAAAATTTCACACTGAAATTAACCAGACCCAAAGAGTATGCAGTTCAGTGTATGATGTGGGATTCCCCTTTGTATGCTGTGAAAACCATTGGTTAATAAAGGTTTGGGCCTATAGCAGAGCTATAGGGAAACAGCTAGGAGGGGAAAACTAAAAGAAATGTTGGGAAAAAGAAAGGCGGAGTCAGAGAAGCCATGGAGCTGCTGCTGGAGACAGACATGCTGAAACTTTGCTGGTAGGCCATGACCTTGTGGTGATGCACAGATTAATAGAAATGAGTTAAATTAAGATGTAAAAGTTAGCCAATAAGAAGCTAGAGCTAACGGGCCATGCAGTGATTTAAATAATCTAGTTTCTGTGTGATTATTTCAGGGCTAAGCAGCCAGGAACCAACAAGCGGCCCCCCTCCAACAATGTATTTTTATCAGTTACAGTAGTCATTGGGATCAGAAGCTCTGCAGCCTCACAGGGAACTTTATATTTTCATTGTAGAATATATTTTTGTGAACTTGTGCACCATGAAAAGGAAAGAAAAACTGTGACAGAATTAGAACTAGAAAAGAAATTAGCTTTATATCCTTTTTTATAACTTGTGTTTATTACCTGCATTCAGTCCTAAGTCAACCCTGATATTTAATGTTTCTTGTTCTCTTTTTCCATGTTCTACTGTGCCCACATGTATGTATGTCATATATACATATTATTGGCTAGATTTTGCATATGAGGAAAAATGTGGTTTCTTCCTTCTAACACTATATAACCTCATTTAATATAACATATTTTGAGTCCATCCATTTTTCTGCAAATTTTCATTGCATGTTTTTCTTCAACTCAATTGTATTCCATTTTATATGTATACTATTTTCAGTATCCATTTGTTGATATACATTAGGTTGATTCGATTTCTTTCCTATGGCGAATACAGTAGGAGTAAACATTGGGTATAAATATCTCTAGATTGCAATGTGGAGTTCTCTAGTTATGTTCCCAGGAGTGACATTGCTGGATCATACATTTGTTTTATCCTCAATTTCTTCAGTCATTTGTAAATTGATTCCCACAATGGCTGTATTAATTTACATTTTACTATATACACCAAAGTTTTATGAGGGTTCTTTTCTCTGGGATGAGACAAGATTTCAAAGTAGTTTTAGTTTTGTGTTTTCATGGAGGCATTTTTGGGATCCTGAACAGTTTTTGCAATATTTATTAACTATTTGTTTATTTGTCTTTCAAAGTGTCTTTTCAGTTCATTTTCCCATTTGTTTGGCAGTTTTATTTCCATGTATAGATTCTCTCCTACTCTGCAGGTGTCTGTGTGCTCTGCTGACTATTTCTGCTGATTTTTTTTTCATGGTGTCCCATCTGTTGATACTTAGGTCAGTTCCTATGCTGTTGCTGTTCTTTCTAATCAATATGTCCTTGCCTATCCCAATGTCCTCATGGATTTTCCCTATGTTTTCTAAGTATCTGTGTTTCTGGTTTTAAATGTTGCCCGAGGTTTCTGTTCTGCCTAGTCCCGCAGCTGTGCAGTCCCAAAGAAATACACAAAAATCTACATTAATAATAAACTAGTTGGCCTATTAGCTCAGGCTTCTTAGTAACTCTTTCTTACATCTTAAATTAGCCCATAATTCTTGTCTGTGTTAGCCACATGGCTTGGTACCTTTTATCAGCAAGGCATTCTCATTTTGCTTCCTTTGCATGTGGATTCCTCTGGGTGGACTGCAGACTGACTCTTTTCTTTTCCCAGAATTCTCCTTTTCTCATTGTCCCTCCTATACTTCCTGCCTGGCTTCTGGCCAATCAGCATTTTATTAAAATAATACAAGTGACAGCATAAAAGACCATTGTCCCACAGCATTTAAATATGGCTTTTGATCCATTTTCTATGGATTTTTGTACAAATAAAAGATAAGAAACTAATTTCATTCTCCTGCTTGGAAACAGAGGCTGTGCTTTTGTTTCCCAGCCACCCAGTCCTAAAATAATCAAACAGAAGCTTAATATTAATTGCAAACTGTTTGACCTATTGCTCAGACTTACTGCTAATTAGCTCCTACTTTCAAATTAATCCATTTCTATTAATCTATGTATTGTGACGTGACTCATGGCTTTACCTGTGGTCTTGTACATCTTGCTCTTCCAGCAGCTCACTGGCATCTCTCCACTCTGCACTATTCCTCCAAGTCCAGTTTGATGTTTCTTTATCCTGGCTTGTCATAGTCCAAAACAGCATTATTATCAAGCAGTGAGTACAACACACACTCACAGGGTACAAAAGGACCATCCCACAGCACCTCCTGGATCCAGTTTTGCCTACACCATTTGGTGAAAAGGCCATATTATTCTAATCTATACTTTTGCCTCCTTTGTTAAATATTAAGTGGGCATACCTTTATGGTATTCTTTCTGGGTCCTTTCTTGTCTCGTTTTAGTACTATACCATTCTCTCCTTTTGACTACAACTATACACTATAATTCAGTAATTCTACATCTCCTGTAGCACTTTTCTCAATTCTACTCTTCCCCAATTATTTAAGGGTAAATATCCCACATGGACTTATGATATTTAATTTTTAAAATATTTTCACTCTAATATATGAACAAAAATTATGTTGAAGCCCAATGCTATAGAAGATGGACTACATTTTTATAAATAATTGTGTGAGGCCTCCTGTGGCATGTAGGCTTCATTGGTGGGGTCTGTCACATTTCCTGAGTTCTGGTTATAAAAAGCAGATATTGAATCACAGGAATAGTTCTCACAACATCTTAGCAATGTGTGGAATTAAAAGAGACATATCTTGGATTTTAGTGCTCTATAATATTTGGTTCCTATTACGTACGTGTGTGTGTGTGTGTGTGTATTTGGTTTTTTTTTTTGAGACAGGGTTTCTCTGTGTAACCCTGGCTATCCTGGAATTCAGTCTATAGACCACGCTGACCTTCAGCTCAACAGAAATCTACCGGCCTCTGTGTGCCACCACCACACAGCTACCCCTTTTCTCTTTAATGTAATGGCATTAGACCTAGACTTTACACATACAAATTTAACATGTTAGAATACAATCATGTAAGGCCAAAGAATTCATAAAATTGATTCAGTGTCATTATTTTACCATGATCTACAGGTATAGCATTTAAAGCACATTCCTCATCATCATTTTCTTTCTGAGACTTCGATGCTGTGATCCTATAGGACATAAACACAGCATTCATACCAGATATAATTGTGTCTAGACGTTAAATGTTCACTGTTAGTGTATATTACGTGTGAGACTATTGTGTCATCCTGATTTCAGGAACTTAGAACATTCATTATAGAGTGTGACTCTATCAGAAATCATCGCTTTGACTAATTCTCTTCACTCATCTACATTTCTAATTTCCTCAAGTCTCAGGAAATGCACTCTTCCTGGAATAACATAATTAAACAACTTTTCATTTCAGGGTCTGTTAACTTTCAGGGATGTGACTGTAGACATCTCCCAGGAGGAGTGGGAATGCCTAGACTTTGCTCAGAGGGCTTTGTACCTTGATGTGATGTTGGAGAATTATAGCAACCTCGTCTTTGTGGGTGAGAACATTTTGCTTATAGAATTCTTAGCTCATCCTTTGTATGTACTTACTTCATAGATTGTAAACTCTGGTATGCTGTCTTGGACACAACAAGAGACTAGGCTAAGTTTGGTAGTAGGAAAGAACTTTTTCATGGAATTTGACTTTTCTTTCCATTTACCATGTTAGAGATGTTGTTTACCTTTCGTTTTGGTTCCAAAATGCATTCAGAAACTCAGTAGCATATAATATTTCCATATATATCTTAAAGTTCCAAATCCATCATTGTACATGACATGGTTCTGTGAGAGAGAAAAAAAAATAGGTGATCTGAAAATTCTCTCTAAATATGCAGAAGATTCTGGAGGAAATAGCAATGGGAAATCATTTCTAGATTCTTCTACTTTATGTACTTTTCATGTACTGAGCACAGTACTATATTAGACTTTTATATTCTTTCTAAAAATTCTAACATGGATCATGGGCTACCTTGCAGGGCAAATGAAATTCCCCTGGAATGTGGAGAGAAGAGAGTAGCCACAACCAGGGTGGGCTAGTGAATGAACAGGACAACAGTAATGGCTTCCAGTGAAAGAGAAAGCAAGAGCTGAGAATGTTTTTGTGATATTCAATTTCACTTGAAATCATTCCTGATCATTTAACTTAGTGTTGTATCCTAGTCCCAGGATGCATTCTGCCTGTTGTAACTATTAGGAGTTGTGTCCTACTGTGTCTGAATTATGGTAGCTTGATAATAGTACAAAATGCAATTTTATTTGACCAAGCTGACATCAGATTGAAATAATCTTATAATTTCTAAGTCTAATATGAGTCCATGAATTAAGATTATTTTATAATTGCCTTCCTTACTGTGTGTTTTCATTTACATCTTACATTTTCTTCCCAGTGGAGAACAGACAGACACCCTTCTGGGCAATAATATCGGGAGTCAATGTACCAAGTAGACTTGGAATAACCCTACCAGAAAAGTTAAGAAACACAGCAGTGTGTGGAGATAGATAGCAGTGTCTAAGTGTGCTTAGACAGTAGAGGATAGAAATAAGCAATAACTGCCCATGACAGCCCTGCATTAAATGAGCTACAGCCTCTGATGCCTGCTAGAATACTGTCTTTGCATCCATTACTTTTGAAGAATCTAATGTGTTTTTCTAGAGAAAGAAATAAACCCTGTGATACTTTTAAGTAAGGCTTTAGTCTTCTGACCAGTCTGCATTGTCAATCACTTAGTAAGTATAAATACTGTGATTGGTCTAAACTCCTTCATCAATTTCGGAGAAAAAAATTATTTAAAAATAGAGACGTGCTTACTAAACATAATCAATAAGTGAGTCTCTCCCAAAGTCAATTACTGATTTCCTCAATCATGATCCATCTTATGAGGTTAGACATTTTCAATACAGATGAGAAATCTATTATTAATTACAGACCCTTGAAGGCTGTCAGGTTGTTTTGTGAGAATATGTTCAATTACTGTGAAAGAAAAAAATATCTAAGTAGTTGCTGGTTGACTTATCTGAACAGAGAACTTAGACAGTCGTTTATTAAATTATTAGTCTTTCATCAAGCCCTACTAATCTGAACTGTACTCATTTTCAGAGAACTATTGCATATGTGATCTTGTCCATCAACATGAGAAGACTGAAAAGGATTCTTGTCAGTGTAATGACCTTGGCAAAATGCTTCATGACCTCTCTACATGTGCACTTTATAGAACAAGTGAAACTACAGAAAACGCTAATAACTACACATGCAGTAATCACAGGGATGCCTCCGTTGACTCATCAAACCTAGACAGACATGAAAGCATGCACACTGGAGAAGACCCTTGTAAATCTAAAGACTGTGAGAAATCTTTAAATTTGTGTCCCAGCATTACTCAAGATCAGAGCGTCTACAATGCAGAGAAAGAGCACAGGCAGGGAGAATGTGATGACTATTATGACTCAACATATAGCCATTTACAACAAACTATCTACATTGGAGAGAAACCATACCAGTGTGGGAAATGTGGGAAATGCTTCAGTACTGCCTCAAGCCTCAGTGGACATCAGAGAATACATACTGGAGAGCAACTTTTCAAATGTGGAGAATGTGGTATGTCCTTTAACCACCATACAACTCTTAGAAAACATCAGAGAGTCCACACTGGAGAGAGACCTTATAGTTGTAAGGAATGTGACAAGTCTTTTTCTAGGTTCTCATATTTTATAGCACATCAAACAATTCATACTGAAGAGAAACCCTACAAATGTGGAGAATGTGGCAAATCCTTTATCCACCATTCAAATCTTAGAA